ATTCAGCGACCCCAAAAACATAAAGTACACATAGTGAGACCTTTGGGTCAGAACACAAATTTTTTTTTTGTGTGGCTGTGAAATCGTTACATTTTAACTATCATTGATAGACATACACGATGGCCAGAGGCATATCCACTTAGGGATATTTCAGCTAATTCTATAGCAACAACATTTGTTCAAAATTACGTTCCTCGTTTTGGCATTCCACTTTATATAACAGTAGATCAAGGATCACAATTTACATCAAAAATGTTCACAGAATTAACTAAATTTCATACGTCCCCATATCATCCTCAATCAAATGGAATGATTGAAAGATTTCATAGGACATTAAAGACTGCTATTACAGCTTCAGATGATTCTACCTACTGGTCTGAAATTCTTCCTTGGATATTATTAGGACTACGTACGTCTATTAAAGAAGATTTAAAATGCTCTTCTGCAGAATTAGTTTTTGGGCAAACATTAAGACTACCAGGTGAATTAGTTGTTTCGAACGGTTATAATAATGAAGTTGACAATACAAATGAAATTCTTGTTAAGCTAAGAAAATATTTTTCAAATGTTAGATCAAAAGTGGTACATCACAATAAAGGATACTCTTTTGTTCCTAAGAACTTGGATACTTGTGAATACGTTTTTGTTAAAGTTATTCACAAATCAAATTTACAATCACCTTATGAAGGACCATTTAAAATTATTTCGAAAAATAGTAAAGTATTCAAAATTCAATATGGAAATATGATTAAAACAGTTTCAAAAGATTTACTCAAACCTGCAAATATAATTTCTGATACAACACAAAACTCTAATTCACTAACAATTCCAAATACACAAAAGAAAATAACATTTAATATTAATTAATTTATCGTTTTACTGGAGGGGGAGTATATGAAGGATATTTTACTTGTATGTTTTTATACTTGTTTAAATTCTTGATTTTCAATTTATGATTCTATGAATTTGTTTGTAGTTGAAAAGAAAATTTTTGATTATTAATAAATAAACTTTCAACATATAAAAACTTAAAATTTAAACAAAATATATTTAGTTTTTAAAATATCATATAAATGATATAGGTGCCAAGGCTCGAATGTGCTGATTGTTTGTTTGATGACAGGAGATACTTCGTCTTGTCCTCGTTTACCACCAA